TAAGAAATATATTATTTAAAAAATAATAAAATACTAAAACTGAAAACATCCAGATACATTATGGTAATCAGACATTTTCGGGGATTTGTGCTAAGTTGTCAAAATAATTGTCAAATAATTTGGTTGATCCCAACAATAAGCCTAATTTTCTTAAAATGTCTTGATTTTCTTTGTAATTTTGAACTATTGTGTGTTCAGATGAAACACAGTCCTCTCTCACTGCCAAACACGTTATCACCCCCTGCTCTCTCTCTCTATTGCTCTCTTTTCTCGCCCTTAAACACCCACTTGACACCCTTTAACACTGTTTTGTGTTCTGCACAGCCGCAGTCAAACAGTGCCAAAAACAGCATAGTCACCAGTCCCAAAGGAAACGTCCCTTCTCCTGCTCTGGTATTTACCTCCTTGTTCCTCTCTGTTCTCTCTCGCTGTTATCTTCTCGTCCGACTCGTCTGTCACTTTGGCTTTCTTCTCCTGTCTCACACATGTCTGTCTGTGTCAGCGTCTGCCGCGTCTCTGGCCACCTGTCGTAGACGCTGTGTGTCTGTCAGTGACTTGAATCCAAGCGCATCTTCATCTTTGTCATCGAAACAATGTCAATGTTAGGGTGGATGATTTTTATAATCCAGATTTGAAGAATTTTGATGCTTTGAGCATCAGTTAGCTTCATGTTTTCACAAAGATGTGTGCTGAGTGTGTGCATGAACATTGTGTTTTTCATTGTTTGGATCAATGGCAGACCAACCAAACTTAGATGTTGGCTCTATGTGTTTCAACTATTTTGAATCTTATTATGACCGTTATAATGTTTCAGTAAATATATGTGTTTGTGTGTACATCTCTGTGCATTTTTGCTTCTTTTTAGATAACCTAATGCTGTAAAAACCTGATGTACAGACATTATTTATTTTCATTATTTCTGTTATTGTAATTAATCAAGTGTGATGTAAACCAGTGCAATATCATCTAATAAAACCCAGATTTCTTATTGTTAGTTCAAATTTGTTTGAAATAACTATTCAGAGCCTCACAATTACATTGTTTTATGATAGATACAGTGATCCTAAAAGCATTTGGCCACTTGAGTCACATTTACAATGTCATTGCATTAGATTGAAAAATTAATTTTATTACTTTTAGTTTAACTTAATTAATTTTTTATTATTTTATTTTGTATTATTTTGTTATTTTATTTTGAATTTTAGTTTAGTTTAGTTTAGTAACTTAATGCAGGGATTCCCAAACTGTTTGTCAGCTGATCTAAAATATTTAGTTGATATCTACCGAGATTTTAAGTTAATATTTCTATGATTTAACAAAAGTTTAAAAAGTTCACAGTTCTCTTAACATCAGTTAATAATCACATGATGATTTTATGTCTTTTTGAGTACATGTTTTGATTGTTTTATTTGTAGAATTATTTTAATTTTAAATTTTTTTGTGATTTAATTGATTAGCTTTTCATAAACTCACAAAGTTTCCTTATGAATCCCAGTTTGGGAAACCCTGCCTGATCTAATGCAATGATATTCAGACATATTTTTAAGTGCAACTTAAGTGTTCAGTTACATTTTTGGACCATTTTGGATGCTTCAGCTGCAGGTTTTCAATATTTAATATTGTTTAAAGAGCAGAACTTCTCTTGAGCTTAAAAAGTATTGTGTTAAAACACATTGTTGTGTTAACACATCGTTAGTAAGAACTATTTTGATATTCTGATAGAGATAATCACTTTTTTTTTAGCACATTTCACAGTCCTTTAAGCTTATTTTACCCTGAAACAATATCTTTGTGATTTCTATACATTTTGTTTGTAAATGAAAGCACTTAGTATTCAAAAGTTCTTTAAAAAGTTGGGATTAGATGCGTTCACATCTTTGGACTGGCTTCAGATGTTGGGCTTTGGCCTTTGGTTGTCCTCTGCTTTTAACCAGAGCGACTAATAACCTCCATCGACTTCCTCTTCCTCTCTCTCTCTCTCTCTCTCTCTCGCTCTGAGACTGCTCTCTCTCCATCTCTCGTCTTTTTTTACTAACACTTGTTTTATTCTTGCCATCTCTTCACCTCCATCTCATTTTGCTCCTGTTTTTTCCTCTCTGTCTTGCTGTCTCCTCCTCTTCCTCTTCCTCTTCTCTCTCTTTCTCTTTAGGAGCCTCAGACCACTGTTATCCATAACCCAGTGGATGGGATCAAGGTACATCCTTCTGCACCTCCCTCCGCTTCCTCTTCTCTTTCATCCTCCACTTTTCTCTCCTCCTCTCTCTGCCTCTGTCGTCTGCTGCCAGTCTCTTGATTCTGTGGTGCGAGCGAGGATGTTGTTTTGGGATTGTGAGTGAGCGTGTAGTCGCATTAGGATGGGAAAGTGTTCGAGTAAGTGTGTGGTGTTTGGTACAGTGTTCAGTGTTAATTGTTGCAGGTAAAACAATGACACAGAATGTTCTTTTGACCCTTAGTTAGTCAATACACACATGGTTTTTAAGCAGAAATGAGTTGAACTTCAACATGAGAGCGTTTTACTTCAGTAATATGACATATTTGCAAAATGAAACAGTTTAGTCAACAAGAAAAAAATTGCACTAGTTTTCAAAGGTTTGGGGTTGGTAAGATTTTTTATGTTTTTGAAAAAAGTCTCATACTCACTAAAGCGGCAGTAAAAAATACAGTAAAAATAGTACAATTATGAAATATCATTACAATTTAAAATAACTGTTTTCTATTTCAATATATTTTAAAATATAATTTATTTCTGTGAGGCAAAGCTGGATTTTTAGCATCACTACTCCAGTCTTCAGAAATCATTCTAATATTCTGATTAGCTTATTATTGTCAATTTTGAAAACGGTTGCAGTGCATAATATTTTTGTGGAAACTGACACATTTTTTTTTTTTCCTGACCCCAAACTTTTGAACAGTAGTGTAAACCAGTACTTTTATGCACTGAAAATTAACACTCCTCTAAGCTCCACCCCCCTCGGTTACTGTTGCTAACTTGATTGTGAGAAAAATGTGCTCATAAAGTGGTAAAAAATTGTTTGGATATTGTTCTAATGTGGGTTGGAATGGTGTGACATTGCAAAGCATTTTATCTGCCACTTTTGTTAAATTATGCCATAACATTAAAAAACAAACAAACATATTTTTGGATAATTTTCATTAAATTGTGTTGGAAACTAACTATAGCTTGTCCGAGAAAAAAAACAAAAAATTATAAAAAATGTGTCTCCTAAATGCAATGTAAGTTGCTTTGGATAAAAGCATCTGCCAAATGCGTAAATGTAAATGTAGAAAATGGCACATGGCAACAGTTACTAAGGTAGGATTGGTCAGTAAGGCGGAGCTTAGCAACAAGTAGGGTGATTGAATCATGAAGTCTGCCAAAAAGGAAAGTTATTTTAATTCCATCAAATAGTTAGATTTTATTATTATTATTATTATTATTATTATTACTTGTTGACTTCAAGGGTGTGATTTAAGAGTCATTATTAATTTAAAAATATGATTTTGCTATTTTCATTGCTAAATACAATTATTATATTAAACTAAGGGTTATTATAGTTTACTAAAACAAAAAATTTTACTAAAAAAAAAAACATTTTCATTACTTGAAATAAAATAAACATTACCTGAAATAAAATAAAATATAAAAAACTATATATTTCAGCTAGTTGTCAAGGCAACACTTCTCATTTTAATTTAGTTTGACTTGTACTAAAATAACAATCACTAAAACTGAAAAAAGCCTACTTGAAATGACAGAAACACACAACAAAATGACTAAAACTAACTGAAATTACAGGGGTCATATGATGCTGTAAAAAGAACATTATGTGGGGGCGTGTTAGAACGAGCCGTTTTAGGTAGGTGTGGCTAACTCTTAACTTTTATAAAGAATATCTCTTTGGATTTGAGACTTTAGTCTTTACAACTTTACAGATCTTCTTTATGCACCAAGAGCTTGTAACACTCCAAAGAGAAAGGAAAAAATGAAATCGCATCATATGACCCCTTTAAGACTGTTTATTACATTTTTAAACAAATAGTTCATACTGTTCATTTTCGTTTCTGCCTTATTAAAGACCACTATTTAAAATCATCCAATCAGACTCTCTCATTTTTACCAAAAATGCTTCCTTATCCTGCCTCCATAATGCTCCTCTCCCTCTCTGGCCGCCCGTCCCCATATGCATGGCCACAGCTGGCTGAAGTCTGACAGTCCGCTTGTCTGCAGCTCAGACCCTCAAGGTGCCTCAACTCGCCCACGGGAACCTGTAGAGAGAAATACAAGCAGACGGGGGCTCAGTCATTTGCATTTGTAATACGTCAGAAGCTAAATGTGAGCTATTAAATGCCTCTGTGTGTGTGTGTGTGTGGGTGGTTACATGCATATGCAGAGGAGAGGGTGCAGGCGGCTGCAGCTGCGTTCTCAATGCTGCCATCTGGGAAAGAGACGTGGAGATGCACAACACAGGAGCTGGGTTTCATTGAATGGCTGTGTTATAGCCTCACCAGGTGGCTGAGCCTGAGATTAAACCTTTGCCCGCGACTGTCTACACCAGTGTTTCCCAACCGGGGTGCCGTCTGTCTTTTTTAAATAATATTAAAAATATCTGTATGACATTATATTCTGCAGTTCTTCCCTGTTGTACCGAATATCTATACTTTTCAAATTATCATATCGAAGTTAGAAATTCAAATATTGTGACAAAATTAATTTTGTAGGGTGCCACAAGTTTGTTAAAATTTCCAAAGGGTGCCGCGACTAAAAAAAGGTTGGGAAACACTGGTCTACACTACTGTTGGCAGTGTCAGTCACTAGAAGTGGAATATGTATGACTTAATTTGTGGTGATGATTATCCCATCTGTCTCAGTGGTAGTACTGGTCGTGCTTTATTGGAGTTAGTCGCTGTTTGTTGAATAAATGTTTTTTTTGGTGTGTGTGTGTTAGTGAAGGTGTGAGATCGGACAATGATTGCTTTTGTCTGTCTTGCAGGAATCTTCAGACAGCAGCAACACCACCATTGAGGATGAAGACGTCAAAGGTGAGCGGATTCTGTTTTTGTTGCATTTTTTTTTTTTTTAAACAATATGATCTGTGGTGATTTTACCAAGGACTTTCCAGTTCTGAAGACATCACCAAGCCCTATAAGGACACTCTTCACAATCCAGTCAATTGCTGATGGATAAAATCAAGTGCATTTTTTTTCCTTCTACATCCTGTGTCACTCAGAAATACAGTATCGTTCAAAAGCTGAATGGCAGTATGTTTTTTTTTTTATAAATTAATATTTTTATTCATTGCATTAAATCGATCAAAAGTGACTGAAAAATAATGTATAATGTTACAAAAGATTTCAAATAAATGCTGTTCTTTTCAACTTTCTATTCACCAAAGAATCCTTAAAGAAAATGTATCATGGATTCCACAAACATATGAAGCAGCACAACTGTTTTCAACATTGATAAAAATCAGAAATGCGTCTTGAACAGCAAATCAGCATATCAGAATGATTTATGAAGGATCATGTGACACTGAAGACTGGAGTAATGATGCTGAAAATTCAGCTTTGATCACAGAAATAAATTACATTTTAAAATATAAAAATAGTTATTTTAAATGTTTAAATAATTTTCCATTTTTGATCAAATAGATGCAGCCTTGGTGAGCATAAGAGACCTCTTTCAAAGACATTAAAGGGGTCATGAACTGAGAAATCAAAAATTCCTTGATCTTTTGACATTGTACTGTGAAAACATCCTGTAAGTTTCAGAACTCAAAACTTTCTTGTTAGTCTAAAAACAGCTTATATTGAAGAAAACAGGACAGAAAATAGCCTATTACGTCTAAATTATGTTTTTTGATGTAAAAATCTTGATAACATAATAATTGGACCTCAGAGAACAGTACAAAATAATAAAAATAGGCAGTTCATGACCCCTTTAAAAAATCTTACCAACCCCAAACTTCTGAACAGTAGTGTTTATTGTGTAATGGAACTTGCTTTGCTTCGTGTTGTAACTAAAACCCCATTAATCACTGTGTTACACAGCTTCACGTGGCTTATTGCTTTTTGAAAATAAAAACAATAGTAGTAATAAAAAAAACTAATTAAAAATAAATATATATATTTTTTTATTTATATAATTAAAATTCAATTTATTTTTACATATAATTTTAAAGTACGGTATTTGCTGCAGTCACAGGTTTGCACACATTGCCTCATCTTCGAACTTTGATCTATCAGTTTTTGAAGCCATGTACAAAAAATCTGAAGCATTTAATTGTACTGAAATGTAATTTGCGTGTGCTATTGTTGTGACATTCTTGTGGCCTTTTGACTTTCTTTGTAAGGTTCGTAAGAAGTGTTGGCTTAATTCTTGCGCTTTGCCATCCTGCTCTTCTGGGACGCACGTTTCAGGACACCTTCAGTGTATTTTTAACTTTAGGAACACTAGAAATGTGAGAGAAGTGGGCTAAGGCTCTGCGTATGTGTGTTTTATTCACACGGGTAAATGTAGGTTTTTTCATTGTGTGGAAGTGTCGTGCTCTGAAGTGACAGAAGTGGGCGGGATGATTTGCCACCCTTCCATGTAAATCTCTCAGCCTCAATAATAGATTAAATAATGTGCCATGTTCCATCTTTGCATGTCCTCCTTTCTCATTCTCATCTTTCCAGTCTCTTCCCACCTTTTCCTTCCCACTCAATAGGGAAAAGCCTAGATAGCAGTTCAGTTAAAGCCCCCTCTGAAGTCAGCCAATCACCTCCGGGCTCCGTCCCCGCCATCTTCTGTAAGTCTGGTCTGCATTCGTTTGGTTTGGCCTGGCTGGTTTGCACGGCATTGATCAGCCCTAAATCCCTAAAAAAATAACCAGCTTCCCTTGAGTTTTGCTCTTCTTGAGGTAACTTATAGATATGAAAATATGGGTTGATGTGGCTAATAACAGACAGTTTAGGGTGCAGTGTAATTTGCACAGTGCTGTCTCTAGTCTTTGTGCTTTATTAACCATTAGTGCTGTGGCGGTGTTATTAAAGCTTAAGGTTTCTAACAGGAAGACCACTGGAGTTCACAAGTTGCTACAGGTTAACTTAAAGGTGCTGTATGTAATTTTTTGACTGAACTAAAGCATAAAAATAGCATATGTTTGCAGATACTACTGCAATACCCATTTCAAACGTGAGCTGTCAATATTACATACTGGATAGTTCACCCCAAAACGAAAATTCAGTCATTTGCTCACCCTCATGTCATTCCAAACCGTTATGACTTTCTTTCTTCTGTGGAAGACAAAGGATATTTTGAAGAATGTGGGTAACCAAACATTTTTGGTTCTGATTGACTTTTTGTATGACGCAAAAGACGACATTTTGAAGAATGCTGGTAACCACACAGTTTTGGTTCATTGTATGAACAAAAGATACAGTGGAAGTCAATGGGAGCCAAAACTGTTTGGTTACCAGTATTCTTCAAAATATCTTATTTTGCGTTCAGCAGAGAAAAAAAAAATACATGTGACTCAGAGAGTGACATGAGGGTGTGTAAATGATGACAGAATTTTTACTTTTGGGTGAGCTTGCCCTTTAACCACTAATAAGTGTGGATAAAAGACTGCAGTATACCTTTAACTGAGAAGTCAATTCAAGTGCAGTGAAAGCATGGTTTTCCTGAAGCCTAGCAGGAAAGGGTTTTGATCACCATGGGAATACCAATAGAGCACTTTCTCTTACTGATCAACTCCCTGCTGTTGTTGCGTGCGCTGCCCAGCTAGGGCTGTTAATGGAATGGCATGCACACATCACTTTGAGACGCATAAGTTTGGATGAATCTCTGTCATCTTGCTCCCACCATCGGTCATCATTACCCCCCTCACCCTCATGTGTAAACAGCCACGAAGCTGACCGACATCCTGGGCTGCGCCCGTAGGGGCTCGGGACCCTCGGCAGTGCCTGATAGTGAAGCAGCTGCCCACTCCACACAATCCCCTCCACAGACCCCCATCATGCAGAGTGAGTATAGCGCCCCCTGCAGACCTAAGCACAGACGCTCATGCACAGGGGCCGTGAACATTTTTGGCTAGCACATTATGTAGTTTTATTGTTTTTGTCATTAAAGTAATTAGTTTTTGACAATGAATTATTTCAGTAATTTAATAATTAATAATAATATTAATGATCCATTTTAATTAATTGAGTTATTAATTTCAATAACTATTAATAACAGTATATTTTAATTATTAACTTAATTAATAACTTAATTAACTTAGTAGTTTGTAAAAATTGTTAGTTAATAATTGAATAATTAATAATATTAAAGGGGTCACTTAAACCGCATAAACACATTTCATTACACCAAATACACCAAATAATGTTCTTTTTAGCAGCATCATATGACCCCTTTAATGATCGTTTTAATTTAATTATTTAAAATTTGTAAAAGTTTGTAAATTTGTTTTATATTTTATATTTTTTTATTTTAAAGTGTTAAAGCAACTTAATTTAACAACAATAATATTAATAATATATTTTAATTGACTTTATTACTAATTAAAAATGTAATTTTTAAATGTAAGTTTTAAATGAAGTAACTTAAAGGCACAATATGTAATTTTTCACCGCTAGAGGGCGCGTATTCAAAACAAACAAAGAAACAAAGGCGTAGTTTGATGATGCCGTGACTGAGTGTGGAATCATGGGAGTTGTGGTCTTCATCCCCACAGCCGATGCAATCCGACGGGACTCGGGCAGAAATCATGTTCATGGATGAGCTAATGTATTAAAGATTTATTAACGTCGTAGTATGAAGCAAGGTGAGGCTGAAAGCCGTCGAAGCAAAACGAGGCCGCTGAACGAGCGCGATACACGGCTCGAAAGCAGCGGAGCTTTTATAATGCCACAGTCGACCGCTTCCACACCTTCCGGAAAGCAGCGGAAGTAAGCAGCGCTGTTTTATCATACTAGATACATTTGAACGTTCTGTTAT